TTGCCTTATCACTCTGACTTAGAACTTCCAGTCCAGTGTTGAATAGAAGTGATCACCAGCAGACATTATTACCTTGTTTCTGATCTTGGGGAAAACAGTCTTTTATTATTAAGTAAAATGTTTCCTTTAGGTTTGTTGTAGATGTCCTTTATAAGTTTGAGGACGTTTCTTTGCATTCCTACTTTGTTAAGAGTTTTTAATAAGAAAAGGATGTCAGATTTTTATCAAATGATTTTTTTTGTGCCTACTATTGAGATGATCATGCTTTTTTCTTTTTTAATATGATAGGTTAATGAATTTTTTTAAATGTTAAACCAATCTAGTATTCCCAGCATAAGCTATACTTGGTCATGATGTGTTATCCTTTTTATATATATAGTTACATTTGATAAAATTTTAAGAATTTTACATCTATGTTCATGAAGGATATTAGTTTGTAGTTTTCTTACAATGTTGTTTGTGTTGGTCTCAGATTAATGCTAGACTCTTAGAATGAATTATGAAGATTCTCTCCTCTTTAATTTTTGGGAAGAATTTTTATAGAATTAGTGTTATTTCTGAAGTGTTTGGTAGAATCCTGAAGTTTTTTAAATGGCAAAGTTGTGTCTGTTTTGGTTATTGTGAATGATGGTGCTATGAACATTGATATACAAATATCTCAGTCTCTGCTTTCAGTTTTTTGGGGTATATACAGAAGTGGAATTGCTAGATCATATAGCAATTCTGTGTTTAGTTTTTGATCTGCATAATCTCTTTAAATCTCTTTTAGCATTAATATTTGGATTCTTTTTCCTCACATATCCAGCCCAATCAAAGCATGGCATCTTTACAGAGTGTGACTTGAAACTTTAGGAGATCTTTTGAGACCATATTCATTGTGATTTTTTTTAACTATAATGTTATGTTGTGAGGCCTTTAACAAATAAAATTATGTTCATAGCACACGCAAGTTCCGTCTCTGTTTTTGGCTGACTGTATCATGTTCCTGCTTCCTTCCCTTCCCCAGCTTAGATTTCATGATCCATCATGGAATCAGTCAATCACTTGCAAACATCCTTATCTCTGTTCTTCCTACACTATACTTCCCTTGAAATTTCCCAAATCTGCTTAACCCCAACTCTTTGTCCTATTCTGTGCCTGCACTCAAGCAGCTGAACATGTTTGGAGGAAAAGCACAAACCCTGGAGCTTGCCTCACTTTAAATAGCACAAATCCCAAATTAACATAAAACTTACCCTGCAGTCATAATAAATTGCTCTATAGCAAATTTGTTTTTTCATTTTCATTTTCATACTTTTTCCATTTCCTCAAACTTCCAGTATTTGTTTCCCACTCCCCACATATCAATATATTTTGCTGTTAAAATAAGTGCAGTCAGCAGTGATTTAGCCTAACCTGCCCATCATCATCTAATTTCTGCTCTATATGCAGATATTTTCTTCTGCCTCCTTTAACAGTGAGTGAACTGTCACCCTTTTATTCAAGAGCAGATCTTTCACTTGTGCACAGATCTTACCTGCTTTCACCTACCCGAGGACTTGTCTTCAGTTCTTAATAACTGAAGCCCATCTCCCTCTCTCCTCATCAGTAAATGTTTACCTCTCTCAAATTATTCTCATTAGCATGAGCAAATATATTTTAATGTTTTGCCTTTAAAAAATACTCCATTTCTCTAGTCTCCAATATAGCAAAATTCACTTAGAGTTGCCTATAAAGTCATTCAAGATTTAAGCAATAATGTTGAAACACTGTAAACAAACCACCTAGCTTAAGAAATAAAACATTATCAATTCCGTTGAATGTCTCTATGATCCTTTCCCGGTGGACTCCGCTTCTTATTCACCAGATATCACATTCTGTCTAATTTAGTTATTATTTCCAGCCCACTCCACTGAGATTGTCATAGACATGGTCACCATTGACTTCCAATATACTAAATTTAGTAGTCAATTATCTGTCTTCATATGATTCAACTTCTTAATAATCATTTGGTAGTGTTGACCCATAACATTTTTCTAAAATTGTTTCCTCACTTAGTTTCCATAATATCAAACTCTTCTATTTCTTATGTTAGCTAATTGATAACTACTGAATTGTCTTTTTCCGGTCCTTGAAATATTGGTTGCCCCAGAATTCAGTTCTCTTAACTTTTTATCTTTTCTATCTTTACTCTCTCCTTGGGTTATCTCACGATTTAAATATTAATATAATCTGTATACTGACAACTCTCTAATCTCTCTAGTCCCAACTAATTTCCCGAATCCAGACATTGACTGCTGCAAATCTACTCCCCACTGTTTCCTTCACTTATGTCCATCTCAGTAAATGGTACCTTTACTCACCCAGCTGTCAGGCCTGATAACTAGGATTCATCCTTTTTCTTTCCTTCTTTTACTCAGACTATGATTACAGCCCATTAACAAAATGTATCCCAATTCCAAACACTTATCACTGTCACCATTCCTACTTCCCTAATCCAATCCACTATGATCTTTCACTTCAGCTACTGTAGTTGCCTTTTAACTGGTTTTCTGGCAGTCATTCTCAAACCCTTTATGTTTTGTCTCACAATAGCCAGACTTTTCAAAATCCACCAATGGTTTCTCTGACTTAGAACAGGATGTGAACTCTTTATTATTTCTTTTAAGGCCCTGCAGGAGCTGAACTTCTACCTTTATCTCCAGTCTTACCTTCTGCCACTTATGGTCATTCACAAATTTAATCTAAGACTTCTGAGATACCACCATTTCTTTGACCCACCCTCATGACGTTCTGATTATGTATCTGACATGGGGTTCAGAGTCTTTGTATTTAAAAAGAAAAAAAAAGTCACCTCAGTTGACTGTTATTCAGGTTATCTTGACACTACCTTATTGAGAAACAATGTTCTTAGTAAATAATGAGGACAGGAATGTATTCCTACATAGAGAAAGGTTTTCTGAAGTTCATACCTGCAGGAGCTTTCCTCCCATACATGTAAAGTTTAAAAAAATTCCCCAGGTGAAACTGGTATGATCCCCCATCCTACCATAACCAGCAAGTAGCACATCCCTCTATTCCATGGAGCCATCATCTTTCTCTGTCGCCAATTTCTTCAAAACCTAAGAATGAACATTTAGTATACTTGAGATACGAGGCAGATTGGTAGGTAAGTTGGAATTTTGTCATAAAATTATGGAATTTGTTATGTACATCATTAAGAGATGATCAGCCTTTTGTAGTCAGAGCTGAGACTTCCCTTAGAAGACAAGTTGATCCTGAAGTCAACCAGAATGTTCAGCGAATACTGAAATTCTTCATAAGTAAATTATACTTTAGATTAGAATATATTTGGCTCTTTATATATGGTGACTGATTTTTGTTTCCGTAGGGGTATTTTGGTTTGGTTATCTTGTAAGTCTCTTTCAGCTTTCCAATTGAACACTCATCTTAATTGCCTTCATTTTATTTATTTATTTATTTTTTTGAGACAGGGTCTTGTTCTGTTGCCTGGGCTGGAGTGCAATGGCTCAATCTCGGCTTACTGCAGTCTCTGCCTCCTGGGTTCAAGCGATTCTCTTGCCTCAGCCACCCAAGTAGCTGGGATTACAGACGCACACCATCACGCCCAGCTAATTTTAGTATTTTAGTAGAGGCAGGTTTTCTCCATGTTGGCCAGGCTGCTCTTGCACTCCTGACCTCAAGTGATCCACCTGTCTCAGCCTCTGAAAGTGCTGGGATTACAGGCATGAGCCACCATGCCTGACCTTAGTTACTGTTTTTAAAACACTGCATATTCTGATCAGTTCTGTGATCAATGGCCAGGCATTGGTGATATTTCTATCAAAATTTTGCAGGAAATAAATTTATTGTATGCTGATTTCAGATAATGTATGTGTTTCACAATAAGTCTGTGAACCTAATTAATTTTAAAAGATTGAAAGTTAGGATGACCAGGCGTGGTAGCTTACGCCTGTAATCCCAGCACTTTGGGAGGCCAGGGCCGCCAAATCACCTGAGCTCTGGAGTTTGAGACCAGCCTGGCCAAAATGGTGAAACCCCGTCTCTACTAAAAATACAAAAATTAGCCGGGCATGGTAGCAGGCGCCTGTAATCCCAGCTACTTGGGAGTCTGAGGCGGGAGAATCGCTTGAACCTGGGAGGCAGAGGTTGCAGTGAGCTGAGACTATGGGCCACTGCCCTCCAGCCTGGGTGACAAGAGCAAGACTCCATCTCAAAAAACAAAAAAGATAATATGAAATAATGTCCTATATTAGGCAACAATTCAACTCTTTAATTGCCTCCTCTTTTCAACTTATTTTAGTAAGTGTTGAATTTACATAGTGTTCTTTTCTAAGTCCAAAGATGTATACACTTTGTCTGAAGTAAGCAGAAGGTCAAATATATGTCCCCCATCTAAAGTACATAAAATTGTGGTTTATTTAGCTACTAAAATGATTACTCACTTGGGCAAGTTACTTTGCCGTTCAGGATTTCAGGTTTCTCTATAAATTGAAGGTTAACTACAACCAGCTGGCCAAATCTCACCTGCCTCTATATAACCCATGAGCTGAGAATTTTTAAAGGTTTGAAAGAAATTGCAACAGTGACCCTTTGTGGTCTGCAAAACCTAAAATATTGACTGTCTGACCTTTTAAATTTTTTAAAATAATATTAAAGAATTATAATGCTAAGAAACTTGGTAAATACATTTTGCTTTAATAGTTAGAATGTGTTGATCCTTTAAAGTTACTTCACTGTGTCTTGGGCGGATAACCACTTAATGAAGTTGTGTGTTCTATCAGCTGTTTTTTTATGTGTAAAAAAGCAAGTTTGAAGAAATTTCAATTTCCCTTGTCAAACTTTGTTTTAGGGATAATTAGCATATACAATAGTCCTTTAGAATTGAAATATCTAGTTTCTTAAAATAATTTATGAAGTACTAATTGATAGATAGGCACATATTATTAGTTCTATTACTAAAATCACTGCATTTTTGGATTTTGTTTCCTTTTATTTAGATAGAAGCAGATTTGGGATATCCTGGAGGTAAGGCAAGAATTATTCATAAGGAATCTGATATCATTACTGCGTTTGCTGTTAATAAGGTAAGTACATAGACATTCTTCTTTTGTTTATTAAGTATTTATAGTTGGATAATATATTCTGTTTTATCAGTTTATCCAGTATTTCTTTCCCAAAGCTGCTTCCAGTTCCTTAAATTGCAACCTGGATACTTCTTTTATTTTATAAAATGATATTATTTGATAATGTGATTTTGTTATTATATGATTTTGGATATGTAGCTGATAAAATACATAATGTTTTATTACTATGCAGAGAGAAGTACCAAATATATAGACAATCGCTTTTAGAATTTATACAATGTAGTACAGTAGTTAACTAGTTAACCCACAGAAAAAGTGACATATTATGAATATGTCAAATGTGGTTCTGGGTATTTGGTAAGATTTAAGCTTATATGTGACTCAAATTCTCCCTCTTTGATGTATATCTCCAATAGCTGCCGAACATGTGTATTTTCTTAGTATTTCTTAAATTTCTACTTAACATCCTCCTTAGATGTCTATATGCTCCTTACAGAAGAGGTGGCCTTAGGTAATATAGTCCAAGATTGAAATCTGTCTTAATCATTTTCCCCTTCTATCTCCCCTAATTGCCTTGCTGTATAGTTCCTGATGACTTCTAATTATTCTTTTGTTTTCCTTCCATTAACTTAAAGGATATGTGTATCTTCTTTTTGTGTATTCATAGAAGATACCTAAAGGAGATATTGTATACATATATATAAAATAAATAAATTTAAAATAATTTTTAAATATTATATAGATACATACCCTGTAATATATACAGGGAAATGTGATATACAGGAAAATTACCCATTTAGTAATCGTTTCACCAATTGGTTTTCTATCTTTCTGTGCTATGTCTGTCTTCTCTGAATTCTTCTGGATAGTATCTTTGTTGTTCTGCGTCCTTCACTTCATTTCCCTCTTAGACACCATTGAGCAATGACTGGTTAAGGGGCTGATTCCAGATTTGCCTGCTTCAGACAGTTCTGTTGTCAAAGAAACAGTTCTGTGTGAAACAGGCAAATCTGGAGTCAGCCCCTTAGCCAGTTGTAATATCTGTGTAATGTGATATTATATATACATGTCAAATGCAAAATTATTAGCCAGGTGTGGTTGCTCACACCTGTCATCCCAACATTTTGGGAGGCCAAGGCAGTAGGATCACTTGAGGCCAGGAGTTTGATAGCAGCCTGGGCAACATTATGAAACCCTGTCTCTACAAAAAAAAAAAAAATTATTATCTATACCTGCATTACCTGCTCTTTCTTGAAGAAAATATTATTTAAAATATTCTGTACTATAAAAGAAACTAGTTGTTTTCTTCTTGAGTGTTTATATATAAGTACTGGTAATGAATAGTTATTCACATATATAAAGTCTACAGGTTACTGTCCATGAATATGCCTTTTTAATTTTTATTTCCCCAGATTTGCTATTTTTATATTTTTATTTTTATTTTATTTTATTTTATTTTGAGACAGAGTCTCACTCTGTCGCTTGGGCTGGAGTGCAGTGGCACAACCTTGACTCACTGCAACCTCCACCTCCCAGGTTCAAGCGATTCTCCTGCCTCAGCCTCCCAAGTATCTGGGACTACAGGTGTGCACCACTACGTCCAGCTAATTTTTGTATTTTTAGTAGAGACGGGGTTTCACCATGTTGGTTGGCCAGGATGGTCTCGATCTCTTGACCTCGTGACGCGCCCACCTCGGCCTCCCAAAGTGCTGGGATTACAGTTGTGAGCCACTGCGCCTGGACAATTTGCTATTTTTAATATCCTTACTAAATTTGCAGCTGAGAAATAATACCTTTGCTTTAAATTGCATTTTTTAAAATGCCATTGAGATTTTTTTTGCCATTTGTTTAGTTGGGAACTACCTGTGTTGAAAACTATGAAGGGTCTCAGATTTTACCTTAAATTAAAACTAACAGTTACCTTTCTGTTTCTGTTAGTTGCCACAGAAACAGTTCTCTTTGAGGCAGGCAGTGGATTGTTTTAACAGTCCATTTAATTGATCCATTAAACAGTTTAATGGATGCTGTTAGAAGACATACGATTCTTTGATCAGAGACAAACGACAGTTTATGTCTAACAGCAAAAGCAATAACCAGAAAATCAGCACTTTACACTGGTTCCCTGAGCCACAATTTCCAGAGAATGACGGGAAGAGGGCCAGATGATACCTACCTTACCTACACACATAGTAGGTTATATTATAGGAGAGGATCACCGAGTTTAGGGAAACCAAATCTTTTATGATAGATAGTAAGTATTCTTGCCCTTTGCTCTGGAGGGAGAGACAATAGTTATACAAACATCCTGGTAATTATACTGCAGAAAAAAGGGCAGACATGACTCACTGATAAAACATGCAGAATTTGGGAGACCTGTGGAGAATTACCACCCAATAATCTAGCTATATCATTTTTTCATTTATTTCTAAGATCTCAGTTTTTTCTTAATAGTTTGTGTTAGAATCTTACATAGCAGTAATGGTAATCCTATTTTCTCTTTGATGTCATTATCTTCCTGTTTTCTGTTTTAAAGATATGCATGCATTCGTTTATTTATTTATTTATTTATTTATTTATTTATTTATTTATTTATTGAGACAGGGTCTCATGCCTGGTGCCCAGTGCTGTGGTGCAATGTCAGCTCACTGCAGCCTCGACCTCCTGGGCTCAAGCAATCCTTCCACCTCATTCTCCCAAGTAGCTGGGACTACAGGTGCATGCCACCATGCCCAACTAATTTTTGTATTTTTTGTAGAGACAGTGTTTTGCCATGTTGCCCAGGCTAGTCTGGAACTCCTGAGCTCAAGCTATCTGCCTGCTTCAGCCTCCTAAAGTGCTAGGATTATAGATGTGAGCCACCGCACCCAGCCAAGATGTACATTTTTGATTCATAGGCATTTAAAATGTCATGTCATTTAATCTTAGCAACTTTTCATTTGTGATCTTTTTCTGGCATACTTCTCCCACTATATTTCTGCCCCCACACCTTTTTTCTGTGACCCTTTCCCACTTCTTTTTTTTTTTTTTTCCTAAGATTGAAAAGCTTTAGGAGAAAGTTGTTTTATTTGAATAATTAATAATTATTTTTTTAGTTTGGAGTTCCTTATTGCCCTCACCTTTCTGTACCCTACAGGGCTCCTATCTTCCTCCACATTCCTGAATTTTGCAAACCTTAGAAAGATCATAGCATTCTAGCAGTCTAGAAAGACAGTACTAGGAGAGGAAATAAAATGCTGCATGTATTGCCATTTATACTGGCTTTCTATTGGATGTACTTTTCCTAGAACATAAACATATCTCCAAACTGAAGCTTATTATTTCACTAAAAGTAAGAATGCTGTATATCTTGTACTTTAGTTTTCACTGTTAGAGGTCATTACAAAACTACCATTTTCAAAAGCAGCTTATATACCTATTTTGCCTGTTTCTTTTAAAATTACTGTTTGACTTATTTTTCAGGCAAATAGAAACTGCATAGCAATCGCTTCCAGTCATGATGTTCAAGAACTGGATGTTTCTGGAATTCTGGCCACACAGATCTACACTTGGGTAGATGATGATATAGAAGTGGAAACCAAAGGGTACCTTCATACTTTGTTTTTATTTAGTAATGTTGCAGTATGAATAACTATATTTACTGAACTATCACTTTCAAAAGATTCTTTAAAGCAATTTATAGATTGTTAGCAGAGTAGAAGCTGATACGCTAAATGAGGGGTGGCAAGAGCTTTAAATAAGGGAATTGAGAGAAGAGTAAGTGAAGGGAACAGAAATTGTTCAGGTATGAGGTCATTGTGTGTGAGTTACGAATAAGAACTGAAGAAAATTAATTTTAAAGGGAACTATAAATTCAAATTTTAGACCTTTCAAGTGTAAATAAGAAAGAAATGATGAGTTGTTTTTATTCTAGTTGACATTCCTTTATAGATCAGAAGACTTCTTGGTTATACATGCTCGTGATGATTTAACAGCTGTTCAAGGTACAACTCCATATACACATAGCAATCCTGGCACTCCAATCAACATGCCGTGGCTTGGTAGTACACAGACTGGCAGAGGAGCATCTGTGGTATGTAAAGTTAAAAATAAGTTTGAGTTATATGTAACATTTTTTTTCCCTTTAGGTTAATGGGTAAAGGATGATTTAAAACATTTTTCTTAATTCCTAAAGTTTTAGTAAGTCTTACATGTTGGAAATTGTAAATTTTGGTAATGAAGAATAGTATGTTTTCATTTGAAAGGGTAATAACAAATTGTTTCAAAAATATACTTTGCTTGAAAACCAAAGAGCTATATTTTAATTAAGAATTATTTGAAACATAATGGTTCAGATCAGGCTTCAGCAAGCTATTCCCCATAGATCAAATACTACCCATGACCTGTTTTTATGTAGCTAATATGCTAAGAATGGTGTATACATTTTAGTGAAATGGTATACATGTTGTTTTTTCAGTGGTTGAAAAAACAAACATAGTATTTTTTTGGCACATGAAAATTACATGAAACTTGATTTCAGTGTCTTTTTATAAATAAAGTTTTATAGGAACACAGCCATAGTCATTTGTTTCTATTTTGTCTGTGGATGCCTTCACACTACAGTGGCAGAATTGAGTATCTGCAACAGAAAGTAAATATTCATAAAGCCAAAACATTTGCTATCCAGTCCTTTATAAAAAAAGGTTTGCTAACCCCTTGTCTAGGTATCTTTTAATGGATATCAATTAACAACTATATCCATATTACCACTTTTTTAAATGCCAGGACAAATATTCTTTTTTTTTTTTAACAAAAACAACACAATTTTTTAAGTTAAGCAAAAAGCAATATAATGATGAACTGAAACATAATTTTTCTGTAGTGATGGAGGATCTGTTTTAACCCTGATTGCCTAGAGATGTGATTCATGTTTGTACTTCCAAGAGTTTCCTTTATTATTACTTAGGGTATAGGAACTAATGAACAGATTAGAAGAAGCAAAAAAAGGTGGTAGTTTTTCAGAATTTCATAAGTCCTGTAGAATGCTTTCCTTGACCAAAAAATACATATTTTTTTTCATTAATTAGTATGGGTAATTTTTCAAGTAAAGGCTCAGTCATCTTTAATAATACCTTGTAAATATTTTGTACCTAATGCAGTTCCTTTATAGTTGATATTACCTTATAATTTGCAGTGTCTGTTGTAATTGTTATTTACTCGTACTTAAACATTCTTCAGATGAAGCTTGAGATCCAGAAATGTCAAGTGGTTCAACTTAGGTCACTTTGTTAAATGTGTCTTGGTGGAGCTTGTTTTAAAGACTTCTGTTCTCCTTAGTTCAATGATTTCAAGTAGCAGTGTTTTAAGGATTAAAATGAAAAGCAATCTAGTAATTATTCAGATGAAATGACTTGGCTCAGTAGTGGTTAAATTCTTTTTCCAGCTGACAGGTGTGTTACAATTCATTTGTAAAACTTACTGATATTATAATCTTTTAAAGGAGAACTCAAGGGGAATATGCCAAAGAAGTGAATAGGACTAATAGGCACTTTTTGAACTCCAGCTTCAGAGATTACAATATAGTTTTTCCTGTAACATCTTTCTTGCTGGTCTCTTCCTCCTCCTGTTCTTTACACAGCAGCAGCCAGTTACTGTTTTCTAAAACATCGAGATTGTCACTCACTTTCTAAAAAATTTCAGATTTCCCAATACAACTTTTAAATAACATTAATATGGCCCTGCAGAATTTAACCTTCTGCCATCTCACCTCCCTATATTCTACATCTGATTCTCTTTGCTGTAGTTACACTGGCTTCTTTCTGTCTCTTGAACGTATTAAGCTCATGGTCATGTCAGGAGCCCTTGCCTTCCCTTCTGCTTAAAATGCTGCATCCCTCTGTTTTACCATTCACATCTCAACTCAAATCCCCCCAGATTTCCCTGGCTTCCCTAATTAAGGCATTTGCTCCTACCCACTCTACCCCCACTCAACTTATATTTTACCATCTTTATCATCCCTAGCACTTACCAGTTATTGAAATTATGCATTATTTAGTTGTCTTTTTTTTTTTTTTTGAGGTGGAGTCTCGCTCTTTTGCCCAGTCTCTAGTGCAGTGGCGCAATCTTGGCTCATTGCAACCTCCACCCCCTAGGTTCAAGCAGTTCTCCTGCCTCACCCTCCCTAGTAGCTGGGATTACAGACATGCACTACCATGCCCAGCTAATTTTTGTATTTTTAGTAGAGATTAGGTTTTGCCATGTTGGCTAGGCTGATCTTGAACTCCTGGCCTCAAGTGATGCACCCGCCTTGGCCTCCCAAAATGCTGGGATTACAGGCATGAGCCACCGTGCCCTGCCTTAAGTTGTCTTTTTTGTATGCCCTGGAATCTAAGCTGTTTGAGAACTTGGATTCTGCCTGCCTTGCAGATTTATGATTTCTAACTAGAATGGTATCGGACATATAGTAGGTGTTCAGAAAAATGTGTTTATACTCCAAAGCTTTGTAATACAGAAATCTACCCTAGGCATAACACTAAGGATTGAATTTTCTTCCTACCTAAATCTTAGAAGGTCATCTTTTTATTTTGAATAATTGTGATTTGTTAACATAAGGGTTGGGATTGCCTCACTCTACCCTCAACAGAAAGACACCAGTAGAATAAGGTTGTTCTTTTTTACGTGGATCTTCTAAAATAATGATTTTACATATTCTACATACGCTTTCAGAAACTCTTTTAAACCTGTGTTTGTGTATTTTTTTACTCATGGTTCTCCTGTGAATATTAAAAAAGAAGACAAAAGCAAGATAGGAACCTTCAAGAATTTCTTTAAGAAGAACATGGGATTTAAATATGAAGTTTACTAACCAGAAGTCATATGCAGCAGGTTTTATTTTTTCTAGAGAATTGATAAAATATTTTCTTAATCCTTTCAGTTATCAAATGATAAAAATTAATAGCAAAAAAAAAAAACATTATGACTAGCTTCTGCTATTTTGGAGTATAACTGCATCCATATATGTGTTTCAGTTTTTTTATCCCTCACCTTTTCTCTGGCCTAGTCTCTGTCCTCCCTACCAACTCCCCACCTTCTCCACAACTTTAGACTAATTGAACCATTTAAAATCCAAAAGAATAACAATAACAAAATCTACCTGAGACTGATGCTACAAACTTAAGATAACATATATTTGTAGTTATGATGCTATATAAATAGGAAATGTTCTATAAAGTTTTCCTTTAATTTTATGTATTTGTTTTACTCTTATTTGACAGGCTAAATTATTCAAAGCATAACTTTAAAATGAATAAATACATAGTTCCAAACTATCAGTTTTTAAATTTATTTAATTTTATCTTCTTTATTTTCACATGCTCCTGTCTTTTAAACTTATACTATTCAGGATTATTACTGAATAATAAATTTAATGGGATCAGAAAAGAATTGACAAGAAAGGAGGGAAGACTAAATTCTTGAGAGGAATTTCTCTTTAGATCTTAGTCAGTAATGCCCAAAATATATGTACAAATATAAGAGCTGCACTATTAAATCTCTGTTACCATGTTTAGTATTTTTAGCACCTATAATGATCGTTATGAACTCACGTAAAAATAACTACATGAATGTTATTTGAATTTCCTGTCACAATTTACATGTTTAATCCTTTTTATTGTGGCTGTAAAATAATTTTTCTATTTTACCAGATGATTAAGAAAGCCATTAATAATGTTAGAAGAATGACTTCTCATCCAACTCTTCCTTACTGTAAGTTGAATAATAATTAGCAATTGTCCTTTCTTATTCTTAAATCTATTTTTGGTAATTTTATTATAAGAAATGTATGGGAACCTTTTTGTTTTAATTGAAAGTATTTATTAGACTTTTTTTCTAGAGAATATTTGCCAGTAAATAGAATCTTGATTTCAAAACTGGGTAAAAATAGAAAAAGATATTTCCCTAAAAGAGAAGACTGATTTAATGAAGTAAATTTTTTGGCGTTTTGACTACCAATCAAAATTTGCGACTACCAATACACAAAATTTGTGTATTTCTAAGTTAACACATTTTATCTTTGAACATTTCTGGATTTCTTTGATCATGCTAAATTATAGTGAATAATTATTTTAATAATAGAACCACTGCCAACCTTTATTACATAAGCCACAACCATACCTCGATTATTTATTACCTCATTATACTCAGTTTGTATTTTATTACTTTTTTTCAGTTTGTCTTTTATGAGACACATTAATAGTAAACATAGGAAGTTATTATTAGTAAGTTTTTATATTCTGAGGCAGAATATATTTGTTTTCAGTTAATCTTCCTAGGAATCTCAAAAGTTTCTCTTCCTTCAGCCAAGAACTTAATTAATGGGGAATTTATTGGAGGTATTGATTCTGGGGGGTTGGAATCAATACTCATTGGTGTGTGAGTATTCCAATTTTTAACATTTTTTTTTAAGTTATGCCCTTCATCAAGTTGTCCTACATAGTAACAAGAATAGTGCTTGTTAATTAATGAGTATTCATGTCCCCCCAGTTTAATAGCCTATTAAAAACTTTAGAAACTTTTGTCTTGGGAGATATTCTGATAAAATGCAGTTAAGAAAATCAGTATTCTTTTCTGCTTCATTTATGATAAATGCTCAAATGATCTATTATCAAAGTTGTATACTCTGTACAAAAAAAAGGCTCAAGAGAACCATATATGTAAAATGAAGAGAATAACATCTGTTACTTATGCTAGAGGTATAAAATAATATAAAAAATTTGTCTGTTTTCAGTATGTCAAATTTATTCATCACTAGAAGTGTGTATTTTTTACCCACAAGTTTAACATAAAGTGAGAACTGAAAAACAGTCATGAAGCCTGTAGTGTTAAGGAGTCAAAACGTGTTTTATATATAAAATTTAAATAATATTACTCCACATCAAGAAATACTTGATACTGCTTAAAACTACCCTATTCTAAGCAGTCTGGTTTGGAAGTTTTCTGAGATACTGAAGGGACCTCATTTTTCTCTCAATCCCATACCATGTGTCCTGGCAGGTGTACATACCTTATACCTCAAGCCCATAAACTTTAAAGTGTCCACCCTCGAAGCTTCAAAGGTTCAATGGACCTATTGTCAGAGGTGTTAGACAGCATCAGTTACTGCTGTTGCTGTCTTGAGAGATAAGTACTTTCTCTGTTTAGAGAACTGCTATAACTAGCAGATAAGACACCTGAAAAATTAAAAGCTAATTTAATTACTGGATTTTTTTTCCAGTATATCTTTTCATGTCACAAACAAGTCCCACAGATAATAATTTAGTTTGATAACAAACACTTTTCGTGTTGTGAAAATGTTATGAGACAGGATTTTTTTTTAAATATTAGTCTGAAGTTCAGATACCTCAGGATAGCTGTTTCTTTCCTTGGAACAGATCTTTTGAAAAATCCTTAAACAACTTTTTAGAAGTTAGCCTAGTACATTTATAATTTTCTGAGTAGAAAACACACTGTTTCTTTATACTGTCATGTACACTTCTGATACCAGATGTGTTGGCTTTTGTCCACCCCAAACCATTCTCCACCTCTCCAAGTACTGGCTGGGTGCCTTGTAATTTGGTTTAATTATGACACAGTCTGCCTGGAGTCAGAATCATATCCTACAGGTTAAGGGCTCAGTCCCACAAAACTGCTCCTTATTTCAGACACCAATTGCAGGTTATCAGTTGTCACCTACACATCTGACATACTGGCTATAAATCAGAGTGCCCACCGCCCCCTCCTTGGGTTGGATTAATTTGTTACACTGATTCACAGAACTCAGGAGAAACACTTTACTTACATTTATCAGTTTATTATAAAAGATAATCATAAAAGAAACAGATGAAAAGTACATAGAATGAGGTCTGTAAGACTCCTAAGCAGAGGAGCTTCTGTCCCCTTGGAGTTGGGGTGCGCTACAAACCTGGCACGTGGATGTGTTCACCAGCCAAGAAACTCATAAAATCTCCTTGTTCAAGAGTTTTTGTAGAACTTAATCTCCAGCTCCTTTTCCCGCCCTTTTCTGGAGGTTGGCGAGTGGCACTGAAATTTTCAATGCTTTAGGCTATCTGTGGGACCCCATCTAAGTCACTGCATTAGCGTAAATTCAGGTGCTGTTCCATGGATTTTAGTAGCTGTATGCCAGGATCCAGGGACAAAGACCAAATATATATTTTATGTCACACTGGATCATTTTTTCCCCTTCTAAAATGTTTAATGTGTTTTCCCTTTTTAATAAGTATTTGTTGAAATCATACTACATGATAGGTTCTATATAAGCCTAGCTGAGTAAAAGTGAAGACTGCTCTGCTGAAACATTAATAAGGAATCTCAGATAAGACTTTTAAAAACCTCTGGAGGCTCGGAAGCCAAGCCAAGGACTTGCCATTTGATTTCACCTGCAATCCTATAGATTTGGGCGATTTCCTCTTTTCTTGAGGTCCTCAGAAAATCCTGGGATTCCCTTGTCTGCCAGGAAGTGATAGTCCTTACTCTTCTGTAAGGCAACCATGTAAGGGACTATATGTGTACAGTACCAGGTCAGTTTTTGCGGCTTTTTGGGTTTTTTTCAAGGTGCCTTATTTGCTCTGTCAGCCTTTGGTTCCTTAAAACTTTCTGGGTCATATCTGATATTGTGCATAGTCTCCAATATGATGTATGAGTCAAAGCCTTGGTAATATGACTGATATTTTCAATTATGTCCTGCTATAAGAAGGACAGGTTCTTCTTGCTTTTACTCCTGGCAAGCTGTAAAGAACAGATTCTTACTGAACTTACGCAAATAACTATATTGCCATGAAAATAAAAATACTCACTAATAGCTTCCAAATTCTGGAGGGATCAGGTAGGGAGAAAAAGTAATTGTTTTATCTTTGTTCATGAAGGCATACTTTGCCAAATTGCCATAAACTATTGAATAACATAAGAGAAAATAAAGTTTTTCTTAAATCTGGAAAACAAAATATTAAAGAACTAGCAAGGTTTCAAAACCACAATTCTTAAAAAACCATAATTTTTCTTCAATAAGTTACTAGCCTCTCATACTTAATTCTTGTTCAGCTTGATCTTGGTTAGCAGTTTAATGAATTTATAAGTTTTCTCCCTTAGAGTTCTGGAAGTTCTTACACTGTCCAATGATAGGATCTAAACGTTATCAGAAACCAGTACCTTTCAGAGTCTTTTCTATGAATCTCCTTGAAGACAGAGCACTTTAGGATTATAGTTACTTGCAAACACTTTCAGTGAAGATCAGGTGAAACAATAGCCATCTGTCAGTGACAAAAGACTTAACATGGCCGTAGCTAAAGATCAGTTCATTATCATAATGCACAATAGACAAGTAAATTTGATTGCTTCTGTGGCATACAATATTTTAACAGAATAACTGAAAGTATGGCTAATAACATTACACCAGAATATATCAGATTTTTAGAAACTTCATACAATTTCTGGAATACTTATCTAATATCATATACCCATACAAATATAATATAAGAAGGTATCACCTTTATTTGACAATGTTTCCCATGCAATTTAACATATCAATTAAGCCTAATTAGTTTTAACAAAGCCTAATTATTATAACATTTTTCTTTTTAGAGGAAGAGAGAACAAATTTTTTTGAGATATTCCAAGGGCCCTTTGGAAACTCGCAAAGTTAGAGTGAGGTCAAAAGTACTTCATTTATAATGTATTTTTGGGAAATTTGTCCAAAATACCAAACGGTTTAAAACACTTGATTATAATAAGATTTTTGTGGAAAAATATTTAACCAGAGTGATAATTTAAATACTTCAAAGGCAAACACAGAAAGTTACATTGTTGTAGAAAAAATCCTTAGCTATTTTAATGTTGTAGGAAAAAACCTTAGTGATTTTAATATTGAAATATAGCTAATTTAATAATAATGTTAATATTAACATTAAGCCTTAGGTAATCAAAGACCTAAAAAGACATGAAGCACAGGAAATTATCTTGATGAAACAAAATCTCTGCTGGGCGCGGTGGCTCATGCCTGTAATCCCAGCTCTCAGGGAGGCAGAGGTGGGAGGATAGCTTGAGTCCAGGAGTTTGAGACCTGCCTGGGCAATATAGGGAGACCCCGTTCTCCACAATAAAGAGGAAAAAAAAAAAGACAAAGAAACAAAATCTCGATTTTGTAGTCAGATTACTTAAAAGGTAAAAATAATAATATTAACATTAGGTCTTAGGTGATCAAAGACCTAAAAAGACATGAAGCACAGAAAATCATCTTGATAAAATCTCGATTTTGTAGTCAGCTTGCTTAAAAGGTAAAGGAAAACCTTTCACAATCTCTTATCAAGAGAAAACCAATACTCCAGTAAAACTTTGTGCCAATGTACTTCTGATATTAAGACTCATCATTCTTTTAATAACATATATAAATACATATTAGCCAGCTTGGCCATGCATAACATTATTTTTCCAAATTCCTCTTACACAAACCTTCTATAGCATTCTTGTATCCGTACATATTTTATTCTGTACTCTTCCTCTTTCCCAGTATGGAACAGTCTGCTTTAGTACAAAAATTATTCTTTTTCCCATAAGAAAAACATCCTTCACACCTCATAGCTTCACATTCCAAAAACATCCTACTTTCCTGACATACAAAATTATTTATTTCAGTAGTTTTCATTACATATATTGATTAGAATTCTTAACTGTTAGTGATGTTAGTTTCTAGTGAAAACTAGGTAATAAGCAGTTGTGCAGTGTCAGTCACACCAGCATTCTATAGACTAGCAGATCTATACTCTTTCATAATTTACAGAAGCATGTTCTTTTTCATAGTATAGTTTTTCAGTGTGTCACAGGACATGTTTACTAACAGACCCAAATATCTTTATTCTTCTGTAATAAGAAGCCAAAAGTAGATAAACTTATGTTTAGCAATTAATGTTTTAGTATTTTATGTAATTTGGAAGTTATCTAGATATTCAATTAATATCTATCATTTAATTTAACTTAATGAAATACTTAGGGTATAAGTTGTCAAAGGGATTTGGAAAACTGTTTTGAAGTAGACATAACACCAGACAAGGCCAGCCATCAAGTTAGTTATTATTTATTTTTTACTAACAAATTTTGTAACAAAGATAACATGAGTGTATTTGACTAGTAAGCATAAGTAAAATAAAAGGTGTATATCACATTATATTTAGTGCTGGTAACTCTAAGGATATGCCTGCTTTAATTAAACCAACAAACTTAAATTAGCTTTCTTTTTACCAAAGATTATCTGACATCAGATGGACTTGAAAAACATTTGGGTCTGTTTCTATCTTTCTAAAAGTTTAAGGAATACTTAATTTATATAAGTGCTTATTTTTCTTTAAGCCCATTATATATAATTATTAAAAATTTTGACAATACCATCTGGTAATAGAAAAATATCACATATATTTAACATATATGTAGTCATACACAAACATACAGGCAGAAGCAGATTCTATAGTTTTCATTCTAAATTTTAGTGATCTGCCAGATACAAAATATCAAACTCAGTAGTTTATAAAAAGGATATTTGGGCCGGGCACAGTGGCTCACGCCTGTAATCCCAGCACTTTGGGAGGCCAAGGCGGGCAGATCACAAGGTTGGGAGTTTGAGACCAGCCTAGCTAACATGGTAAAACCTCATCTGTACTAAAAATACAAAAAATTAGCTAGGCGTGGTGGCATGCACCTATAGTCCCATCTACTCAGGAGGCTGAGGCAGGAGAATTGCTTTAACCCAGGAGGCGGAGGTTGTAGTGAGCCAAGATTGCACCATTGCACTCCAACCTGGGCAGCAGAACGAGACTCTGTCTCAAAAATAGATAAATAATAAATAAATAAATAAATAAATAGGATATCTGGATCCAAATTGTGTTCCTGAAAATGGGACAAGATTACCCACCCAGATTGCTAAAACTTTACTAGTATTTGTGGAAGAAGACTTTTAAGATTTCTCATTTGTCTTTTGTGAATACTCTTCTAGAGAGACAATTTGCAGTTCATTTAGTCTTCTAGTAGCCTCTGCATACCAATAAAAAATGCCTCCCAGTTTGTGAAGCATTAGAGATTCCCTTTTATTTAGTGCTTCCTGTAGATGGACAATTTTGTATAAGTTAAAAACTTCCCTGTTGTGGCCACCATAATTCTAAACTGTCTTTGGTAAATATACTCATTTCTCTAGGAAAGCACAGGTTCTGGGTCCATAATGTTTATACATAAAATTAGCTGGAGTTCCAGTTGGAGGAGTTCTTGAATTCCTTAAATTCAGAAGAACCCATGATTTTTTGTCCTTCTAAAATCTTATCTACCTGAGGCCTCTTACTGGACCCAATCCAGTCAGGTTCAGTCTGACTTCCAGAGCCGATCTGGATGAAAAATGCTTAAAGGGTAAAAGTTGCAGGTTTCAGCTCAAGTGGCAACCTTCAAATGCACAATGAGAAACAGTAAGCACAAGGGACCTACCGGGAGGTACCTGTGCCCTGGTTACTTGTTGCTCCTGGAGGTCATCATCAGAGGTCTCCTTCCTGTTCCTCTGCTGAGAACTCTTAAAACATAGGCACATTAAAAATGTAATGAGTTTATTTGAGCATTCAGCTCAAATTCATGAATTGGGCAACACCAGACCAGAAGCGATCAAGGCTTCACCGAGGTGGCATGAGGGGAAAACTTTTATAAAGTGTTCAAGGAAGCAAAACAAAGACAATATTTGATTGGTTAAAGTGGAACGTCCTTAGTTAGAAGTTAGTTGGGGGTTTCTAATTGATAAGCGTCTAGTTAGAAGTTAGTTGGTGGTTTTTGATTGGTTAAGCTTAAGCTTCATTTTACTGTTTACATTGAACTGAGTTTTGATTTGCTCATATAGGCACACAAGGCCCTGGACCTGTCTTAGCCTAATAGCCTCCCAATTAATTTCTTTTTTTTATTTTATTTTTTTAAAGAGACTGGGTCTCATTATGTTGCCCAGGCAGAAGTTTTATGGCTACTTACAGCACAATCAAGGAACACTACAGCTTTGAACTCCTGGGCTCAAATGATTCTTCTGCCTCAGTCACCTGAGTAGGACTATAGGTGTGTGCCACCAAACCCAGCTCTTAATTTTTTAACATCATAAAATAATAATAGAAAAGTTCAGTGATTTTTTTTTTTTTTTTTTTTTTTTTTTTTAGTACAACTACCCTAATTTATTTTTCTGATTAAGCTATGCAAGCGCATTGGGGGAAAGGGAGTAGAGCCAGTCAAATACCTAGTCTCAAAAAACTCTATCTACCCTCCTACCGCTGCCCAATGGTAAAACATTTCAAACCCATCGAAGTTCATTTATTTTAAATATTTGATAAGGAATGAGGGAAACTTGACTGATATGTGACTAGCAAGTGCTAGATGTTTTATATAAATGTAATTTTTTACTACCTCCATACCACATTAATATTGATAATTATACTCTATAAATTGAGTGGTATATGATAGGCATATTTCTGAGTGATCTCATTTACTACTCACAACTGTCCAGTGACTTATATATCATTAGTCCCTTTTTACAGGAAGGAAATAGTCTCAGAGAGATTAAGTAAATATCCTAGTATAACACAAATAATAAATGGCAAAGTGAAGAATTAATAGTCATTAGCTTATTCGTATTTATCAGTGAAACAAGAAGTCAGGTGCAGTGACACGTTCCTATAAATCCCAGCCTCTTAGAGGCTGAAGTGGAAGGATCACTTGAGGCCAGGAGTTAAAGACCAGCCTGGGCAACATTGCAAGACCCTGTCTCTAAAAAAAAAAAAAAAATTAACTACAAAATTAAAAAATAAACATAATACATATTTGAGATACTAGGCCAATCAGGATAGCTTAGAACTGATTTTTTTCTTTAGCATGGCATTTAAAACCTTCTTTAATCTGATTTTTTTCAAAGAAAAATGTATAAACATTTAAACATTAATAGTATGATAAGGATTGGTTCTACCTAAGAATTTGATATAATGAGTAATATATAATTCATTATAAAAAATAAAAGGCTATTAAGACATCACTGAGATAACTTTAAAGGGAAATAAAATTTATAGAGTTATGATCTAAATGCTCCTATTGTATTTGAGGATGTGTTCTTAGTCAAAGGAAAATGTATTGTATAACTATTTTTATGATGAAGAGTATTCAACTGAAATTTCATACAAAGGTAAATTTATATAAATTGACTGATTTATTTCCTAGATGTTTCTTTCATAAAGATTTTCACATTGGATTAAGAAATAACTTTTCCCAAAGATTCTTGAAATAAATATGCAATCTTTGCCCTCTTGTAATGCAGATCTGACAGGCGCTCAAGATGGAAGTGTAAGAATGTTTGAATGGGGCCATTCTCAAGAGATAACCTGTTTTCGATCTGGTGGCAATTCAAGAGTTACAAGAATGAGATTTAACTATCAGGGAAATAAGGTATTATATAAAAATGTAAATGGTAAAAATAATTTATTATGTTGGAGGTTTATAAATATCGCTAGTTTGGGTTTCTGAAAAGAACAGCTCAGTGGGTAGTAGTAAAGTATTCATCTATATAGATTTTTTTAAATTCTTCTCAAAGAACACTTCGCTTGTTCTTCATGGAAGTATGTTATGTAGGTGTCCATTAAAACTCATTTAAGTGATTCTTAATGACCAAACGATTATCAATTCACCTTATATTACACACTTTTTAATATTAAATGCTCCTACTCTCTTTATCCCTTGGAACCTACTCAACATGTGATCCAGCAGCAAGTAACATCTAGAGCTTATTATAAATGCATATTATTATTCCTTCTCCAGATGTACTGAATCACTATCTGCATTTTAACCTGATATTGTTGTGATTGTACAAATATTAAAGTTTTTTAAGAGGAAGGGGTACTGCTCCAGAACAGAACATCAGCAAACTACATCCTAGCCACCTGTTTTATAAATAAAGTTTTATTAGACCACAGTTACCCCCATTCATTATTTTTCTTTGGCTACTTCCTACTACAACAGCATACATAGTTCAGGAGGACAAAGATCTTATAGCCAGCAAAATAAAATATTATATGGCCACCTAAGAAAAAGTTTGCCAGCCCTGCTCTAGAGCATCCTTTACTGTCTTCACTTCTCATAATCCTACTTTGTTCAAACTGCCCCCGCTTTTGACGTTAGACAGCAATCTTTTATTGAACAGTACTCCTTGTGAAGCAGGGCTAATTCAGAGGCAGTGCACCCACAACCAGCCCAAACTGCCTCTTTTTGCTCCTAATATCTTATTAGGCCTCTACAAAATGATTAAAGGGTAAATCAATCTTCTTTTTGTTTTCAGGGCCATGCTTCACCAAAAATTACTCTCACAGACTCTAACTGATAGTTTACCTTGCCTTTTCTTTCCCCTCAGTCTCCCAACCTTAAAATTCTCACGTGTTCCTTTTATCATTGTATGCTGCAGCCTTTTTTGTCTACCATGTTTGTCACATGACTGTATTTTCATTTCACAAAAGTCAATATAGTTTTATGTAGTTGTGAAAGAAAATTTTGAGAGCTTGTTTCTTAATACCAGTTAGCAACGTTCTTATCTTCTTAATGGGAAATTAAGAGAACTTAGTACAGAAGCCTTTACAATTCTACTGTACTTTCAATTGTATTCTGTATCAGTATGCTTTTTGTGGTCATGCATTTCCACTTTGGTTGTCAGTTTTATATTGCTCCTAACTAATCTCTATACCTGAACCCTTATCTCTCTAATGCATCTTGCCAACATATTATATAACCAAAAACATAGTTACATGATTACAATATAGATGAGATCACATTATTATTTTTTTCAAGAACCCTTTAAGGCTCCTCATGTCAAATTCTTTAACAAGTATTTAAGACCTTCTATAATGTGACTTTATTTTTCACCTTTAACATTCACTACAGCCTTCTGCATAGGCCATTTTAAGGCACAAAAAACTGCTTGTCTTTGCCTGCCCAGGTATCTTTGACAGGCAGCCAACTTACTATTCATTCACCTTAGCCTTGATGAAGTCTAATAGCACAACCCCTAAGCATGCTATCTCTTCTAGTAGGGAAGCCTCTTAAGGTAAATGGAAGAGATGACCCACACTGTATCACAATAATTCTGATGAATTTGATATTCAATTATGAATAGAAATACAGTGCCAAAAGCCAGTGAATATTTCAGAACTACTAAGTGTCTGGAAAGGGGTATTAAGCAGAATAAATAATAAATAACCTATGAGGACTAATTCCACAGAGATTCAAGAATATATTACATTTGTAAAACAAGAACAGACTAGCATTAAACAAGGACAGTAGGAGAATAGAAAAGAGTTATTGGAAATTAAAAATATGATTCCCCAAAATGTGGTCAGTGGGGGAACTACTTATTAGAAAAGCTGAACGGCAGAATGGAAATAGTTGAAAATCGGGTTTCTTGCTGGGAAGCACAAATTAAGAAATTATCCCATGATGATGATAATTTAGGAAATATTTCAGAAGAAAAAATGGAGGAAAAACAGTAGTCAAAGGAATAATAGATATTTCCCCAAACCAAATTGAGAAATAACACATACCTGCACACATCCTGTTTGTATATCTTTTGGTTTTTAAAGTTAAAGAGAGAATCCTATAAGGTTCTAAAAAGGAGTGAGAATGAAAATGGTTACTTACAACCCACATCCCACCCTGCCACTAAATGTCATTCGCCTATTACAAATAGATAGGAGAACAGTATTCACAGAATTCTGATGGACAAGGAATGGGAACTGAGTCGATGTCCATCCAAACTATCATTCAAATTTGCTGGCAAAATAAACATATTTTTAGGTATACAGAGACTTAACACATTCTATGTGTATACCCTTTCTGAAGAACATACCTAGATCTACTCCAGAAAACATAAGAGAAACTAGAAAAAGGAATAGACCTGGGAAAATATTATTAACAAATATAAAAACAATAGGTTAAATATTCATAATATTCATCCTGTCAGTCAAATTTTTTATAAGACAAATAATAGAGAAATAGATAAAAGATATTAACAGTTTACCAAGAAACTATGCCTGGCCAATAGCCCTCAACCCTCACTAATAATTGAAGAAATGCAAATAAAATGAGACTTATTTTTGTCTGCATAAAATTAACAAGTATTTTAGATTTTAATAATACCCCATGTTAACTAAAGTGTAAGAAAAATGACTCAATTTATATTACCACATAGGATTTAATTTTGGCATAGTCTGTTAATTTTAAGTGATGCTCTTTAACAAAACTTTCCCATTTCTAGATGTCTATCCTACATAATTATGCAAAGGTATATGTATATATAGGAATGTTCAAAGCAGCCCTTTTTATATTAGAGAAAATTGAAAACAATATGGGAAAAGTTTTAAATTATAAAACCACTATACAGTGTAATACTACACACAGCACAAGAATGAGCTAAATGTATGTGTATTTACATGGGAAAGACAGTTACAATAAATCAAAAATGTAATTGTGTAACGGTATTATGATCCCATTTTTTTAATGCTATGTTGTGAATTTTTGAATATTCATAGAAACAAATCTGAAAGGAAACATATCAAATTGTTAATAGATGTTAGGTCTAGAGGCAGAGGAGGGTAGGAGTCCAAAGCAGACATTTGTTTTATTTTATATACTTTATAATAAGCTGCATTATGGCCGGGCGCGGTGGCTCACCCCTGTAATCCCAGCACTTTGGGAGGCCAAGGCGGGCGGATCACAAGGTCAGGAGATCGAGACCATCCTGGCTAACGCAGTGAAACCCTGTCTCTACTAAAAATATAAAAAATTAGCCAGGCATGGTGGCGGGCAACTGTAGTCCCAGTCACTTGGGAGGCTGAGTCAGGAGAATGGCGTGAACCCAGGAAGCGGAGGTTGCAGTGAGCCGAGATCACACCACTGAATGGCGTGAACCCAGAAAGCGGAGGTTGCAGTGAGCTGAGATCACACCACTGCACTCCAGCCTGGGCAACAGAGACTCCGTCTCAAATAATAATAATAAGAAGAAGAAGAATGAGAAGGAGAAGGAGAAGAAGAAGAAGAGAAGAAGAAGCTGCATTATTTTTATAATCAAAGGAAAAAATTTTTGCTGTCTTATCCTTCAAGATCTGTATCACATACCTCCCTTATTGGATTATTTTGACATCTTACCAATCAGAGTTGCCCTGAGCGCCCATAGAGGAATTATTTTACTTTGGTAATCCTTACGTTATTTTACTTTGTACTCTTGTTCATGTGTTTTCCTTATTGTTTGTTTCTGAAAGTCCTTATTTTGTCTTTTTGGAAATGAACAGTTTTCTTTCTTATATATGATAAAGTTCTGTCATTTAGCATAATCTGTTAATCCAGTATCCTATTTTTGTAATACTTACAGAGAATATATAGACTGTGCTAGAGGCTAGTATAATAAAATGGGTGTCTAATGTTTGTTCTTTTTTTTTTTTTTTTTTTTTTTTGAGACGGAGTCTCGCTCTGTCACCCAGGCTGGAGTGCAGTGGCCGGATCTCAGCTCACTGCAAGCTCCGCCTCCCGGGTTCACGCCATTCTCCTGCCTCAGCCTCCCGAGTAGCTGGGACTACAGGCGCCCGCCACCTCGCCCGGCTAGTTTTTTTGTATTTTTTAGTAGAGACGGGGTTTCACCATGTTAACCAGGATGGTCTCGATCTCCCGACCTCGTGATCCGCCCATCTCGGCCTCCCAAAGTGCTGGGATTACAGGCATGTTTGTTCTCTTTATGTCCACCCTGGGATTTTTAAAGTAGTAGCTGAGTGGTTTTCTGAAATAGATCCATGTATAGGTGAAGTGAAAAATCAAATGACATACAATCAAATGTTTAAGAGTCAAAATATGAGTGTCACACTGAGGGTAAGGATAAATATATGCTTTTATATTTATATTAAATACTTTTAAATATTTTCTTTCTCTAAGTTTGGAATAGTTGATGCTGATGGATATTTAAGTCTGTATCAAACAAACTGGAAATGTTGTCCAGTTACTGGAAGCATGCCTAAGCCATACCTGGTAAGCCAAGAATTTCTACCTTTAAATAAAATTTGAATTTTCATTTTAAATAAGCCAAGAATATGTATTTGAGACAAGAATTATAGAACTAATAAATAAAATGTAGTCCTGTGTTCTTAGTCACTTTACTGTAAGATTCTGTCCTTGTGTTATGTGAAAATTACCCTGTGAAGCATAAAATTCTAGTCTCTGGTAATTTGGAAAGTTGACATGTATAGAAGCAACATGATGCCCCCAGATACCTATATATCCTGTGGATTACTACAGCCCTTTTCTAAGCTCACTAAGCTGGTTATTATATTATGCCTAAATAGAATGATTATCAGACCAATGCATCTGGTTATTTTTCTGCAATTATCTCTTATGAACAAAGTGAAAAGGACATCCTATAGCTGGTGCTGTTGTTATTTTCCTGTTCATCTCTTGTTTTAACAGAATATTGATACATCTCTATTCAGGACTATGCAGGCTTTTATGAACTTTCTATGGCTTCATAGAATACTGAATTTGTATTTTATATCCTTCAGTGAAGCCCTTTATTAGGACTAAGCAATTCCTATCAGAAGAAAGTTAAGAATATAGATTAATCGCTTCTTGGCTTTTTTGCTAGGATCAAATGAAGAATATAGGTTAAGATTCTGGTAATTTGCCCAAGGTTAATTGCTAGAATACAGTACTGATCTTAGTAAACGCAATCTAGCATGGGAGGATTGATTAGGGTACCTTGAAAGAATATTAATACTGTTTCTCATATTTTTATTAAGCCTAAAGATTTAGATGTTTAAGTTTATGTTCTCTAAGGGACTTTTTTTTTTTTTTAACTTTAAAAAAAATAAATTGGTTTAAATTGTGAATGAGTGGCTTTTGGAGATTAAGAGGATTTTGTCTGTTTTAAGGATACATAATCTACCACAGCTCCAGTAGTGTTCCAGGGGAAATGGGGAGGTGGCTCAAAGGAATAATCCTTGGTGTAGTGATTTTGGGATACTTAAAAAAATTCATTTTTATTAAAGAGAAATATCTAAAACATAATTTTGAAGCTTTTATAAATGTTGAAACCTCATAATTGTTTGGTAGAATATTGAAAAATGGTATATGTTTCTAATTTCGATAACTATTAGTAATTTTTTCATGTACTTGAATTTTTAAAAGCTTAAATATTTTGAAAAATACCTGTCAATTATTTAACAAAGATAATTTAGTATCATCTAAAATTCTAGTTTCTATGTTCTAAAACAAAAATTTTCACTATACTGGGGAAAATCTTTAAGTTTAACCTCCTTGTGTTTTCCTTTGAACTTTTGGTTGAACAAAAGCAGAGAGATTCATAACAGGTCATGACATGTGCTGCCTACTTAAATAGTTCAGGAAAAGTGTGTGTATGTGTGGATGTCTACAAATATGAAAGAGAAGTAGAAGCAAAACCAATGTGCCAAAATGTTAAAAAGTTGTTGCATCTGGGTAAAAGGTATATGAAAGTTCTCTGTATTACTTTTACAATTTTTCTAAAGTTCAAAGGAAAAAAAATGATACAGAGGATTTAAGAAAGCCAGAAACTACATGATCACTTTTTGAAGAATACATTTGCCTGGTTATGACATTTTTAGTGAGAGCAGTAACATGTATTGTTTGTAACCATTCCAGACTTGGCAGTGTCATAACAAAACAGCCAATGATTTTGTCTTCGTTAGTTCCTCCTCTCTGATAGCTACAGCTGGTCTTTCAACTGACAATAGGTAAGAGATGATAGCTAAAATTGAAGTATGAGAAAGTATAGCTGAACTTTTTTTTTATTGTTCCTGTCCTTGTGTTTCATGAAAGTTTACTTACGGCTTTAGATACAGTATTTTTATTCTAAAAACTATTATTTATTGGCCATGTTATTCCAGCCCCACCCCCAAAAGCTGTGGTTGTAAGAAAGTGTCATCTCCTGCCCTAATGTCTGTCTGCCTCTTTTGATTTCTGTCATATAACTGAGTTCTGAGATCAAGGCCCACTGAGTTTGCTTAGCTTTTATATTTATCCGTAATGCCTCATTTTGCACTAGAAACAGGATTGTAAGACTATAGATTCTTCAGCTCGTCTTCCATAGATATTTCTTATGTATGTTGGTCCCCCCACACAGTAGAAATAAATTTTCTTTGTGCTCAAGAAAATTCAGCATCTCTCCTATTATGTAGGTCAGTCCAACTGTTAGAGAATCAGTGAATACAAAAAGAAGTTTCCATATTCAGCCTTCATGTATTATTATTTGTAAATGCTTGTTAATCTAAAGTTACTCAAATTTTTAAGCTATAATAGTAGTTTTAAATTTTCTGTAAGACTTGTGGGTCGGGCACGGTGGCTCATGCTTGTAAGCCCAGCACTTTGGGAGGCCGAGGTGGGCAGATCACTTGAGGCCAGCAATTTGAGACCAGCCTGGCCAACATGGTGAAACCCCATCTCTACTAAAAATACAAAAAATTAACCAGGCATAGTGGCGGGTACCTGTAATCCCACCTACTCAGGGGGCTGAGGCAGGAGAATAGCTTGAACCTGGGAGGCGGAGGTTGCAGCGAGCCAAGACCACGCCGTTGCACTCCAGCCTGGGCGACAAGAGTGCGAAACTCCATCTCAAATGTGGCCAGAGCATGGTGGCTCATGGCTATAATCCCAGCACCTTGGCAGGCTAAGGCAGGAGGATCACTTCAGCTCAGGAGTTTGAGACCAGCCTGGGCAATATAGGGAGACCCCATCTCTACAAAAAATTTTAAAAATTAGCCAGACATGGTGGCACACATCTGTAGTCCCAGTTACTCAGGACACTGAGGTGGGAGGATTGCTTGAGCCCGTAAGATCGAGGCTGCAGTGAGCCAAGATTCCACCACTGCACCCTTTTTTAATACAAAAATTAATGTCATATAAATTTGTTGGTTACTTGTATTTGTTGTTTTTATAAATTTAAGAACCTTCTGTGATTGCAAGGTTTAGTCACACAGTTATATATGACATATTTTTTATTCTGTTAACTTTTTGTGTCACGCAGAAGTAATCTTTTTTTTTTTTTCCAGAAACGTATGTTTGTGGGATACTCTTGTAGCACCTGCCAATAGTTTAGTCCATGGTAAGTTTTCAAAGCATTTTATAAATTTTGAAAGTCAGGAAATTCATAAGCTAAGTATTATTTATAAATGGATTTGTTACTAATGACACTTGTATTTATTAACCCATGAGATTTATTTTGCCCATGATGGTAGGATTTGAAAGCAAAAGGATGCAATATACATAATTAACTCTTCACTATACCTTGATGGGGGGCATTGGGACATAGATAATATAAAAATCATTTGTCTTTACTTTGAATCTGATAGCCAAAGGTTATTGTAAACATGATGTAAACTCAATATTATGTCCCCTCTCACCACTCCTATTCAGCATTGCACTGGAAGTCCTAGCTAATGCAGTAACACAATAATAGGAAATAAAATGTATATAAATGGAAGGGAAGAAATAAAACTGTCTTTATTCACAGAAGACATAATTTTCTGTAAAATATCCCAAAGAATCTACAAAAGAAACTCACAAGTATAGCAAGGTCCCAGGATACAAGGCCAGTATACAGTTGACCCTTGAACAACATAGGGATTGGGATGCTGACCCCTGCACAGTTGAAAATTCTCATATAATTTTTTATTCTCCCCAGAATTTAACTACTAATAGCCTAGTGTTTACTGGATACCTTGTTAATAATATAGCCAGTCAACACATGTTTTGTATATGTATTATATAGGAAGCTAGAGAAAAGAAAGTGTTATGAAAATCGTAAGAGTACATACAGTAGTGTACTGTATTTATTGATACTGTAAAGTTTATGTCATCTGTTTACAAGGTGAATTATCCGTCTGAAATGGCAGGCAACTACAGCTGCAGACCTTAATTTGTGGTGCATATCAAGCAATTCAACTTTTTTCGTGTAATGTCTTGACTTTTCTCTGCTTTTTGGGAACACTTCCAGCATTACTAGTGGCATGTTGTATGGTTCCCATGGTGTTATTCAAGGTTTACACTATTGCACTAAATACAGTGAAGAATTCACAAGTACCACAGGAGATCACTTTTCACCGCAATATACAGTTTACTGGAGAGAAGACCTGCCCACGTGGAAATGATTAGCATCACACAGCATTTTAAGTGTATACTTGCAACACTTAGGAGCTAACTGCAATAGCAACAGGAGGTGGTTACTAAATTATAACAGTAGTACAGTATGTACTATAATTAATTTTATGCACTTATGATTTCATACTGTATTTTTGTTTACATTTCTTGACTGTCAGTGTCACCACTTACAATCTATATTTGTGTGCGTACATTTCAATAAATTTAACTTTTTATAAAGATTTATGTATATTTTATGGTAGTAAATGATAAAATAGACTAGCATCTACATGTATTTTATGCATTCATAGCATACTTTTTCATAATTTTTTTGGTATTTCTTGGCTATGTGGGTTGTCTGCAAGTTTTTTCAAATTATCTCAAATCTTTAAAAAATGTTCCAATATATCTATTGAATAAATCAAAGAAGATCTAAATAAATGAGTGATACTCCACATTCACAGAATAGAAGACTCAATATTCTTAAGATGTCAGTTCGTCTTGATTTTATAGATTCAACACAATCCTAATCAAAATTCCAGCATGCTACTTTGTAGATACCAACAAACTGATTCTGAAGTTTATATGGGAAGGCAAAGGAATAGCCAACCAAATACTGGAGAAAAACACACTTGTGGGACTCACACTATGCTATCTGATTTCAACACTTATAAGCTACAGTAGTCAAGACATTGTGGTATTAGCTTAAGAATATACACATAGATCATGGAACAGAATGGAGAGCCCACTGATAGACTCACATATATAGTAGACTTATCTTTAATATGTCACAGAGGCAATTCAGTGGAGAAACGATAGTCTTTTCAACAAATAATGCCAGAACAATTGAGTGTCAACATATAAAAAATTGAACCCAGATACAGACCTCACCTTTCATAAAAATTAACTCAAACTGGACCATAAACCTGCATGTAATATGCAAAATAATAAAACTCCTGGAAGGAATGAATTGAATAGAAGTCAGAATAGTGATTGCGTTTGTTGGGGAGGAGAATTGACCATGAAAGGGCATGAAATTACCTTCTGGGATGATGAAAATATTCTGTACCTTGATCTTAGTGATGGTTACACAGATGTATTCATTTGTCAGTGCTCATCAAGGTATATACTGAAAATGTGTGCATTTTCTTCTGGGAAGTTATATCTCAAAGTACTGGTCAAAGTTCCTTCTCTATAATTAATTTTATTTCAAGTCTTACAGTAATAACCAAGTGCTTAGTTTATGCCATGGACTCTACATGATCTGCATATATGAACTAATTTAATCATCAGGAAACTCTATTAGGTTGGTGATAATCTCTTTTATAAATGATGAAACTGAGACTTAAGTAATTCAGCAAAAGCACACATTTAAACCCACACAGAAACCAGGATTGAAACCCAGGCGATCTAACTCCAGAATCCTCACTCTTCATTATGCAATATTCTCCTTAAGCTATATGTAGATTTTTTCCCTAAAATTTGTTAGGCTGGACTCTTTTTTAAAGAAAAATAGTATCGTATTTTTATATTTCTGATACTGATGTGTCTTCATATTCATGAATCTTTTCTTTTACGAGGCTTAATCTGCTGTTAATCCCATCCAGTTCCTTTTTTATCTTGAGCCTTGCTGTTTTTAATCTGTTAAATTTTGATTTAGGCCTCTCATGCCTCTACTTAACTTATAATTATAATGGACTTTTACTTTCCTTACCTACTAATTCTGTCATCTCTGTCATTTCTGGGTTAGTTTCAATTGATGGATTTTTCTTCTCCTTATGGGTTATATTTTCCTGCTTTATTACATTCCTGTTAATTTATTATTAGATGCCAAGCATTGTGAATTTTACCTCATTAAGTGTCTATTATTTTTGTATTCTGTAAATGTTCTTGAGCTTTGCTCTGGGATAGGTCTAACTTACTTGGAAACAGTTGAATCTGGGAGACCTTGGTTAAACAGGACCAGAGCAACATTTGATCTCGGGCTGATTTTCCTCCACTACTGTGTCAAATGCTTCTGAGTACTCCACTGAGGCTGGTATGGAACCAGTTCAGCCAGGGTTCCTCTCCTAGTGCCATGGTCAGAAAACTCTAGGCAGTAAGCTTAGGGCAGTTTTATGACCAACCCAGTTTGTTTCCCATCTCTCAGAGATCATGCTTCATTAACTTACATCCAGTGTCTCATTGGTTTTTATATTTCATTTGATTTTTTAATTGTTTCAGGCAGGAGAGCAAATCTGGTCTATTATTTCACCTTAGCCAAAAGCCAGAAGTCTATGTCTTTTATTGTTAAGTGTTTTTGTTTTTGTTTTTAATTTACTTTCAGCTTTTACCTGCCATGACAGTGGAGCCACAGTTTTAGCATATGCTCCAAAACATCAGCTACTAATATCAGGTGGCAGAAAAGGTTTTACATATGCATTTGACCTTTGTCAACGACAACAGAGGCAGCTTTTCCAGAGCCATGATTCTCCTGTTAAAGCCATTGCTGTTGATCCAACTGAAGAGTACTTTGTTACAGGATCTGCTGAAGGCAATATAAAGGTAAACATAGTTGATGCCACAACATCTACAAAATGAAAAGAAATCTTCAGAAACCTTAGCTCTTTAATCATGTCGATGCCATCAGTCTGTTTAAATAATAGTTATATTAACTCCTTTGTAGTCAGCAATGGTAATTGCTATTTAATCTTTCAGTGAATGTAATAATATTTAACTTGAAAATTTTATATTTTTCATTTGTTTTAAAATATGTTTAATTCATACTAAAACACCAAATTTTCCATGGATATAAACATAATGCAGATATTAGAGTTTGTCTTGACTCCATGTTCAGAGTTACATAATTTACTTAATTACCAGGGGCTGAGAAATGTATTGATAATTTTCTTTTATCCCACATTGTTCCCCATTTTTTCATATATATTATTATCCAGTCACTCAGTGCCTAATTCAAGAATTGTGGATAAACCTTGCCTTTAGCAGTCCTTTTCAGAGTCCATTGTGTTGAAAACTTAAAGACAGGTTGTTTAAAATGTTAAGCAGCTTGTTAAAAATGTTAAACAGCTTATTAAATATGCAAATTGCTGGATCTCATCCCAGAAATACTCAGTCTATAAGTAAGTCCAAGACTCAGGGATCTGCATTTTAATAACACATACCTAGTAATTTTAATGGAGGGTCCTTTAGCCCTGTTTGGTAATTGGTAAGTCAGTTTAGACTAATCCCCATGTTGTTTTAATAATCAGCAACCCTAGACTAGAGGGGTTTAGTTTCATTGAATTTATTAATTTAAACACTTACTTAGTAGAATCAGATGGGTTTTTTAGAGCCAGCAAATTATTTACATAATTCTCATCCAGGAAAAGACTAGAATTATAGAATTTTTAAAAGGCTTTTTCTTAAAATCAAATATATATATATATACACACATATACACACACACCAACAGAATTATTTTCCTTTAGTTTGAAACTACTTTCTTATTTGAACTGACTGTCTAGTTTAGAATATGCCATAGTTAGGTTGGTTCTTTTTTTTTTTTGAGACGGAGTCTTGCTCTGTCGCCAGGCTGGAGCACAGTGGCACGATCTCGGCTCACTGTAACCTCCGCCTCCCGGATTCAAGCGATTTCCCTGCCTCTGCTTCCTGAGTAGCCAGGACTACAGGCGTGTGCCACTATGCCCTGCTAATTTTTTGTATTTTAGTAGAGACGGGGTTTCACCATGTTGGCCAGGATGGTCTCGATCTCCTGACCTCATGATCCACCTGCCTCTGCCTCCCAAAATGCTGGGATTGCAGGCATGAGCCACCGCACCTGGCCTAGATTGGTTCTTTAGTTTGTACTTTGATCCTGCGGTTTATTGTTTAATCAAGGTTAAAAAAAAGAAAAAAAAAAAGACTTGAAAATATACAATGTATTCATAGGTGGGGTAGTATGAATTTATGAATTTCTTAGAGTAAATAAACGTTTAAAAAAATGATCTCCAGTAAAACCAGGAAATAAGTTGGTTTCGCTAAACCTAAAATAGATGTCCTGAAAGCATTTAAGTTCTTCACATAAGTAAAGGTGCTTATAATATGCTTTACAAACAGACACATTTATTTTGATAAGGGCTGGAAATACAAAATCTTAGTAAATTAAGTATCCTGAAATTATAATAATTAACTTTGTCTTATAGTTAAAATATAGCTTTGCCTGGTCAGAGGGCCTCTAGGTGTCAAGTACTTCCCTCTTTCCAGCTGTTCTGATCCCTGGTTGAACATTCAATAATATAAAGAAGAGATTACCTTAATGTACAACTATACAGCAAAATCTCTGCTAAGAGATAGGAAACCTTGATTTTAATCCTTATAGTATTACAAGTTTCTGTAGCATTGTACACTTAACCTCCTTGTTACCTACATTGTCTCTCTTACTGGATGAATTTTTAAGTATTTTGTGTTAAAGCGATTGGTAAATTACAACAGCCTATACAGAATCAAGGTGTTATGATCCTAGGCCTACACAGATTTTTCTCTATTTTTGTTTTGGAAATTCCTTACTGCACAGGAATGCAGGCCTGAAATTTTCATTTGATTTCTTTTCTTTTTTTTTCTTTTCTTTGAGGTGCAGTTTCACTCTTGTTGCCCAGGCTGGAGTGCAGTGGTGCAATCTTGGGTCACTGCGAACTCCACCTCCCAGGTCCAAGCCATTCTCCTGCCTCAGCCTCCTGAGTAGCTGGGATTACAGGCATGCGCCACCACGCCCGGCTAATTTTGTATTTCTAGTAGAGATGGGGTTTCTCCGTGTTGGTCAGGCTGGTCTCCAACTCCTGACCGTAGGTGGTCTCCCCGCCTCAGCCTCCCAAAGTGCTGGGATTACAGGTGTGAGCCACTGCACCTGGACTCGTTTGGTTTCTTAAGGTCATTATCAACCCTAATTTTTCTTTCGTTCTTAATATCTTTCAGATTTGGAGTCTCTCTACCTTTGGTCTTCTCCATACTTTTGTCAGTGAACATGCTCGGCAGTCCATTTTTAGGAATATTGGAACTGGAGTGATGCAAATTGAGACAGGGCCCGCAAATCACATTTTCTCCTGTGGAGCTGATGGAACAATGAAAATGAGAATACTGCCAGATCAGTTTAGCCCTTTAAATGAAGTGTTGAAAAATGATGTGAAATTTATGCTATAACATTTTTACAATAAGATGTACAATTTATTACCTACATGGAAGTAGTCACCAGATGTAATATACAGTGATCATTCTCTATGCCACAAATTAGCTAATGCTTTCTTGTTTTTATATTTATTTTATGGAGCTTTGCCCTTGATGCACTGATGCCTTAAAAATTAACAAGGTCATTCAGAAGTAGATTACATTGCCTAAAGTAGAATGTGTAAGTAATGCTGTAATAATACATATCATAGTATATTATAATCAGTATGTCATAGTGTTAAAGGTGTTTTGTTTTCTTATTGATACTCTTCCACAGGCATCTCTGCATGAATTTCTTCCACAGTAAAAATACCTTTTTTGAAAAGGCAATTGTACATAATACTTATCCCTTAATTCACCACACTCTCACTTCCTTTATTAGCCTTATACATCTCACACTCTTCTTAATGATAGACATTTGAGTAAGAATGAAAAAAATAATGAACATCTTCATTAAAATTGTCATTGAGATGTCAGTGATAAATGAGCCAGATGGCTCGTTATGTAAGGTTTTCATCAGTTTCCCCTCTGGAGCCCAAGTTATATGTATGTATACTGTGTGTGTGTGTGTATCTTACATATCTTATTTGAACTTAGTTGTACATATTAGCAAAAACTGGTTTTTCATGTGTTTTTGTGCCATAACAACTACGGCCACTAAAATAACTTTTTTTTGCAACTGTGCTTTTCATTTTTTAAAAATTTTTGAATTCCCATCCTAATTTTCAAATAAGTTTCAAGGAGACTTTCAGGATTATTGTTTTAAAGATTAGATTTAGTCAAATAAGTCTTAGCAGGCAATAAAGTTTCTGTGGTGGCATATATCATATAAGACACTTAAAGTAAGTTTGTGAATTTGTCAACTTTTGGAGCATCAAACATATCTTACTTAAATTTTATTTTATCTTATTTTTAGGTGCTTTTAATCTCAAAATTCTGAAAAGCTTATAGCAGTGTTTTCAGAAACAAATGTGAAAACAGTCAAATTAAGTAGACACTGTTTAGAAATGTAAAATACTCTCCAGATCTACCATTAATAGAAAATAAACTAAACCTTATATTTTATTTTTGCCAAAATATTTTATTATAAAGTATGACCAAAATATTTAAAATGCACAATGCTTTTAACTTAAATGCGCTAACCCTGTTTCTGTCTGTTTTGTGCTGTACCTTTTCTGATTCAGAATTATAGAAAACTTGATAAATACTTGATTTTAACCAATGAGACTACAGGCAGATGAGACTAAGTGTTTATGGGACAATTATATACTATTTAACTTAAATATATTTTGTTTAATAGGAAATATATAATAAGAGCATTTTATGTAATAAAATATGGGCAATGATTATCTTGGAAATTAAAGAGTCAAAGCAAAGAAATGAAGGGCTGATAAAATGAATTTTGTAATATCCTCAGGATACTTTTATCTTAAAAGTATGTTTGTAAATTGTATTTCAACAATTTTAAATGTGTTGAGCAAGTTGCAGTGAAAACACTGTCATTATGTAGAGAGTTTATATGCACATAATAACCTGTACCTATAAGTTGTGCAATAACCATGCGTGACTATTTTGCCATGGAGAAATCTGACAGCATTGCAAACAATAATATTGTTTGATGTAGTTAACCTTAAGTTATTTTTCAGCAATTTCTTCACAAATCAAGATTCAAACAGCTTTAAATACTTTCAATGAGATAAAATATTTACTATTATGCTTATTAGAACAAAAGGTGTTAAGGATGAACTAAATATTTTAATTGAGCGTTTATATGGATAATCATACATTATGTAAGCCCATATGTATTTACATCCAGAGTCATAATATTTTAAATAAACAATCATGCAGAAACTTTTTTGGGGGATATACTATTGTTTTAAGATCTCTGCCAATTTAGCTGACTTAAAATATGTGACATTTTAAAATCAAGAATTTCTACATTTGTATTTGGTTAATATAAGGAGGATGGAATAACTTTCCCAAATAGCCTGTTCTTTTCTAGTCTTTTTAAGTTGATAGGTAAGCATTATTCAAGGAAGGTGGGAATAAAAATTGTTGAAATGTTTAAGTATAAAATGATGTACATATATGTAAAATTTCATTATCCACATTAATGGAATAGATACATCAAAATACATTTTTAAATTGTGTGTTTTCTAAGAATGTGGCTTTGTGATCATATAAGGATTCACAGCATTAACAAATCTTATTTTCTGAAATCTAGGATTTTTCTTAACTAAAACCATGGAACAGTCATCTCCATCCTCCTTTCTTGCTCTTTGCCCTTGCCCTCCCTTTGAAAAAAAAAATTATTTTTTAAAAAAATTGCAGAAATTTCTCACATTGGTCTCAACAATGGAAACACAATACAAAGACACATTCAAAGAAAAGCCTATACAACCTTAGGGTGGAAGTGATCTTTTAACAAGATTGGAAACACAGACATATTTTACTTAATAAAAAATTTAAATGTCATATGGCAGGGACCACAGTCAAAGTTAAAACAACAAGTAGACTAGAAGAAATATTTGTATAGTAATAGGAAACATGTCAGTGTCCCTGTATACAAAGAGAAGTTTAAGTTATTGGAGAAGTGGTCAATAATAAGCAATTCACAGAACAGGACATTGAAAAAGTCAACAGATATAAAGTATGTTCATCTTCATTATAAGGGCTAATGGAATGTTTTTTAAAAAAGTATTATTGTAATACTAGTTTTTATCATATTGGTTTAAGGTTACATAGTGACAACATCCATTTTGGTGAAGATACAGGGAAATTGGCAGAAACATTGCTGACAAAGTTATCTGGGTGTGAATTAAAATTGAATACACATAACTTTCAGTGACCAACCTTTTGAGAAATTATAAAAATAAAAGCATCCATGCACAAAAATGTAAGCACACAGATGTTTATTGAAACATATTCTGGAGGCTGGGTGTGGTGGCTCACACCTGTAATCCCAGCACTTTAGGAGGCTGAAGTGAACAGATCACTTGAGGTCAGAGGTTCGTGGCCAGCCTGGCCAACATGGTGAAACCCATCTCTACTAAAAATACAAAAATTAGTGGGATTTGGGGTTGTGAGCCTGTAGTCCCAGCTACTCAAGAGGCTGACACAGGAGAACCACTTGAACCCAGGAGGTGGAGGTTGCAGTGAGCCGAGATTGTGCCACTGCACTCCAGCCTGGGTGACAGAGCAAGACTCTGTTTCAATAAAATACAATAAAAATTTTAAAAACTGGAAATCTAAATGTTAATTAGCAAGTAAATGGTTGAATAAATTATGGTACATACATGTAATATTATAGAATATTCTCTCACCACTAAAAAGAATGTTAGATGTGTATCTGTTGGCCTGAGAAGAGGTTGATGAGGAAAAATAATTACAAAGCAAAAGATACAATATCCTATATTTAGATTTTTAAAAAATATAGATGAACAAAGAAATGTGTGTGGAAAAAATACACAAAACTTTTAACATTGGGAAAAGGAAGAAGGGTGTAATAATTTTCCAAACTCCTTTAAACCTCTCTCAGTAAAGTCATAATACCAAAAAGTTTTGTTGAATGTGTGTACGTGGGAAAAATTATTTTTAAACCAAATAGTACTTCATGACTTTGGGAGCTGCTCTGTTGAATAAAGTGATCCAGTGTCAGGAACACTCCTCTTTGAATTGTTGAGATATTTTTGGTGAAATTTATTTAAGCTGAATGTTAAAATGTTACCCTTTGGAGCGGGAGTCCCGAACCCATGGGCCACAACTGGTACCGGGCTGCACAGCAGGAGGTGAGTGTCAGGGGAAGCTTCATCTCTATTTACAGCTGCTCCCCATTGCTTGTATTACCGCCTGAGCTCCGCCTCCTGTCAGATTGGTGGAAGCATTCGATTCTCATAGGAGCGGGAACCCTATTGTGAACTGGGCATGCAAGGGATCTAGGTTGTGCGCTCATTATGAGAGTGATGCCTGATGATCTGTCACTGTCTCCCATCACCCCCAGATGGGACCATCTAGTTGTAGGAAAACAAACTCAAGAGTCCCACTGATTTTATATCACTGTGAGTTGTATAATTATTTCATCATATATTACAATGTAATAATAAAAAAGCTGTACAATAAATACAATGCGCTTGAATCATCCTGAAACCATTCGGCCCCTGCGACCCTGGGTCCATGGAATAATTGTCTTCCCACGAAACCTGGTGCCAAAACAGTTGGGGATTGCTGCATTGGAGTACCTGGAAAAAGCTGATCATAGATTATTTGAATGTGCCTGTTAGTATTTAGAAATGTGTGTAGATTTTAGTACAGTTATTTTCAAAGCTGAATCTCTTTTTGAGCTTTGCAAGATGGTTTTCCTTTCCACTTGGCTGTCCCTGCATATATATGGTCCATTATTCAGGGAACTAATACTAATTGTTTCACAGGGGTCCTTGGAAAAAGAACACTTGAAGTTCTCCCACTGCAAATACAGATGAGTAATAGAAACAATTGGTATGACAACACATTTCACTCGATAGTGGAAAAAATGCTTTATTCATGGACAGTCAGTTATGTGTTCAATGTACAGGTATGACCTGTGTAACAGAACTCAAGCCAGTATGGTGTATCAGCCCTGGACATATGTTAAATAAGTTTTAAAAATCCTTTGGAATCTACTCTTAGCATCATTTCTGAAATTGCAGCATATTTATTTTTTGAAGCCATACCTTTCTTTTCAGTTTATTCTGAACACAAGCAAAGATAATTCCTTAAAATAGTATCTGGTTGTCTGTATTTGGGTTGTTTCATTCTGTGTTTTGCAGAAAATGCATCAGATTATTATGGCTATTCAGACATGAAGATAACTAAGCAAGCTACAATACTTGCAATGTATTTTAAGATCTCATGGGGCTTTTTCCTAATGAGAGGCTTTATGGGGCAGGGAAGGTGGGAAATGCTCCATCTGGAGTTCACATTAGAGAAAACTTCATGTGTAGATGAATGTAGCCCCACAAATGAGGCATTTCTTCTGAGAATGCAGCTCCACAAGAAACAGCTTAGCAAATGAAGCAAGGGCTAGACTTCAGCCCAACAGACCCCCCTAATAAGTTATATAAGCATTCACCATGGCCCTGTACCTCATAGAAGCCTAAGATTCTTATACAGTGATGACAATCACGTAAATATCAACTGTTCCACAAATCCCTTTAAAGAAGAAAAAGAACAAATCACTCAGATACTATACCTAAGCTATTAGATGGCAGAGAAGGCAGCAACCTTTAAATTACATATAATTTGGGAAATAAACATCTGAGTCTCCTAGACCTCACACTATAGCAGAAAATGATTGGAAAGGGGGTACATAGAAGAGTGCAAAAGGATTCTACTGGTACTGACACAATATGAACTGGAGTTTAGAAGGAGAGGGTCTCATTTTGAATGGTGAAATAGAACAAATAACTGGCTACTGAAAAATAGAGAGTTGGAAATTGTATGTGATTAGATGTGAATATTTTGGGAAATTAGTTCTGAAATAGGAGGCCATCTTCAGAGGAACTGATGTCCTCTGGAGGCTTATTGGTGAAGGGAAAAAAGGAAGTAAATGAAAGTGTCATTTAACAAGATACCAAAGAATCCAAAAATATCCTCCATAAAGATGTGTGATTTTTTTAAAGGAAATCATGATTCACTTTACAAATAAAGCACTGTGTTCCTGAATGAAAAAACAGCCCCCCATATTCTTTCCTACACTTGTCCATAAGATTATTTACTATTATAATGTGAATAGTTGACACCACATGTGAAAAAAAAATCCACACAAATTTACTCTCAAAACTTTTTTTTTTTTTTGGAACATATAAAAACACTCTAGGCCGGGTGCAGTGGCCAGTTCCTGTAATCCCAGCACCGGAAGGCCCAGGCAGGAGGATTGCTTGAGCCTAAGAGTTCAAGACCAGCCTGGGCAACATAGGGAGACCCCCATCTCTACAAATAATTTAAAAATTAGGCATGATGGCACGTTCTTGTGGTCCCAGCTACTTGGGAGGTTGAGGCAGGAGGATTGTCTGAGCTGGGGAGGTTGAGGCTGCAGTGAGCAGTGATCACACCACTACAGCCTGGGTCCAGAGTGAGACCATGTCTCAAAAAATGCAGGGGAGGAGGAGTGGCTCATGTCTGTGATCGCAGCACTTTGAGAGGTCAAAGTGGGAGTCCAGGAGTTCAAGACCAGCCTGGGAAACATGGTGAAACCCCTTCTACAAAAGAAAAGAAAACAGAAAAATTAGCCATGCATGGTGTCACGTGCCTGTAGTCCCAGCTACTCAGGAAGCTGAGATGAGAGAATTACTTGAGCCTGGGGAGGTCAAGGCTGCAGTGAGCCATGATTGTGCCATTGCACTCCAGCCTGGGTGACAGAGTGAGACAGTCTCAAAAATAAAAATGTAAATAAACCACCCTCCAAAATAATTTCATGAAACAGAGGAAAGCAATAATTCAAAACATTCTAACTTATTAATTGATCAACAGGGTCTCACTTTTGCCTAGGCTGCATTTACAGGACCTGCATTTACTCAGGAATGAAAACAGCAAAATTATCTCATAAATCAAGGCTAAATTAGAAATGGCCCAAGGGAGAAGAGATATGACTGAAAGCACACACTGAACAGAGAGGATAGAAATTAAATGAGCCAAAAAATGAAGTAAAAAGCTGTTGTAGAGAAAATAATAGATATAGAACATAGACAAATATGCAACGTTTACAGGAAGGCAGAGCTCTGCGTGCAGAGCCAGGAGTTGTAAGCCCAGAGAGCAGAGCTTTGAATCACAGGATTATTCTCAGGCCTTGAAACTGAATGGAATTTTCCCTGCTGTACT